GCTCAGGAGAAATTATTACATGCTGCTAAAAAAGGAAAAAAACTACGTTATTGTAATTTAATTTTTTAGAAACAATAAAATTTGATATTTATTGCAATTAAGGACGAGGTATCAAAATGTATCTTTTATGTGGGTCCATACATAGTTAGAAAAATATGGTATTGGAAAAATACGGGTACGGAAACGTACGAGTATAATTTGATATTTTTTTTCAAAATACGTTTAAAAATTTCGGCAAAAAAATATGAAAACGTAAAAATACGAATACGGATACGTACGTGTATAATACGTTATATACACTAGAAATTCGGGATAAAAAATTCAGCTATACACATCTTATTATTTTCTTATATATCATATATTTGTAAGGACAATCAAGAATATGTAACAAATAATAAAATAAATATATTACAATTGATACTATCACAATAATCATTAAAAAAAAAAAAAAAAAAAAAAATCTAAATATAATGAAGCAATAACCATATGTCCATAACATGATCAATTTCATCTCAAAATTAATGAAAAAATTCTAATTCAAATAATCAACTATGTTGCCCAAAATAAAAATAAAAAATTGTTCTAAATTTAGATAACACCATCTAACCAAGAAAGATCTTCATCATTGGTGACTATATCACTAGAAACGTCATCTGTTGGCTCTAAGGAATAATCCTCCAATTCTTCAAGATCAACATATTCAAGATTGTCACTAAGTTTGTCAAAATTAATTGGCTCCAAATCTTGTGCTTCGAGTGTCTTGAATTTTTCCATCATCGTTGTGTTCATCCTTACGTATACAAGATTGTCCAATATTGTTGGTGCCAACCTATTCCTTTTCTTTGTTTGCGCATCTTCCCAAGCACTCCAATTTCGCTCATATGAAGAAGAACTGCAAGGCTGACTCAATATACGGATGGCATACTTTTGTAGCACAGGAAGACAATCCCCACAATAATCTCACCAAACTCCTACACATAATAAATAATAATAAACTAAATATATAAAGCTTATTATAATTTTAACAAGATATTTTAAAAAATAAAAATAAAAACTTACGAGGATGAGATGTTTTCAACATTGTCTTTGCTGTATTTGTGAATAAAGTTGTGATCTTCATACGGTAAAATTGCAGTTCTCGAATAACATCTTCTTTTTCTTCTTCAATAATAAAATTTCCTAACATAAAATCTATACTGTCTTTCATTTCACGATTTTCTCTGAAGTCCTCGCTACACATGAAGGCAGGATTTAAAAATGCAGCAGCTGCATGTATTGGGTGGATTACATTTTCAATTCTCCGTTTTTCAAATAACACCCATATCTGCATGTAATTAGCTTGATTAATACAACAACGTTGTTTAATAGTTTTTTTTGCCCTTTCCATCACCTCATACAAATATTCTGCAGTTGAACCATCTCCATCAACCAAACGAATAACTCTAACTAAAGGCTCCAGAGTTTGTATTACTTCTTTCCCTTTACTCCAAAACTCAACACTTCGAATAACACTAGCAACCTTTAGTCCCATCCCTCTTTTGTTGTAATCCAACCCCCTTCATTCAAAAGATGCCACAAGTAATCGCAATCCATCTTCAACTTCTAAAATTGATTGAACCATCAAAAAATTGGAGACAAATCTAGTTGCACAAGGATGTTTGAGTTCTTTATGATTTGTGCGCTCTCTCATTAATGACAAAATAATAGTGTGCTTGTAAAAATATGTCACAATTAATTTTGCATCATCAATAATATCATGTATCCATAAAACTTCAGAATAAATATCTTTCAATAATAGCTGAATCCCATGAGCAGCACATCGTGTTTTATACATACGAGGGTACTTACCAATAAGTATGTCACCAGTTAATTCAAAATTTGATGCATTATCAGTAATGAACTGCACAAAGTTATTAGGTCCAATATCTTCAATTACTGATGACATAATATCTTTTAGATAAACACCTGTTTTTTTATCCTTTGAAATTTTAAATGAATTCATAAATACTACCCCACCAGATGAATATGCAATTATGTTGATAAAGGCACGTTGCTTTATATCACTCCATATGTTTGACATTAGTGTGCAACCTGTAGCAACCCAAGTTTTCTTCACATTCCCAATGTATGCCTCTACTTCTGTCCTAGAATCTGGTATTAGCTTTGTGCGTAAAGTTGAGTAACTAGGTAATTTGTATGTTGACCCAAATTCAGCAACACTTCTCACGAAATCAATAAAAGATTGAGTTTGAACCACATTAAATGAAATATTATTCAAAATAATGTGCTTGGCAAGTTTTTTATCCACCTCACTCTTATCCATCTTCTTAATTGTTTCTGGCATGGTAGATTGTTGTTAGCCCTTTGAGGATGAAGAAGAAAAATTAACAGACCCACCTTGCTCAACATCAATTGGAGTAACTGTAGTCTTAATTTTTTTGTTCAGACCACCAATTGCTAAAAATGCAGCTGCTTGAAACTCTTGAGGTACTTTTGAACAAATTTCAATGTCTCTACCTTTTACCCCATATAAGTGTGATTTGACTCTTGAAATACCTCCATGATAGTTGAAGTTACAATACTTACACATGAAACGACCTTGTAATTGTTCAACGTGATCCCAAAATGCATTCCTTTTTTTTCCCATCTGTCCTTAATAGCCTATATATTTATAATAAATTCATAAGTATATAATATGATACTTTACTAAAACATCTAGGGAGTGTGGTAATTTACAAACTTCTAAAATAATAACATAAAGATACAAACAAAATTTAAAAGATCTCACAACAAAACAAAAAATGTATAAATATCTACAAACATCAATAAAAACTTATGATTCTTTAAGATTATACTATTCCACAAGTATATATATATATATATATATATATATATATATATATATATATATATCATTACTTTGATTAAAGATCATACAATGGAGTGACAACAATAAGAGATTAAAAAAAGAGAGAAAGAAAGTGATACATTGAATGTAGAACAACTGAGTGAGAGAATGGTCACAACCTTCCCCAAGATTGCACAACAAATTGATGGCGCGAAAGATAATGGTTATACCAAGCAAAAGAGGGTAGAGAAGACGCTAATTTGTATTTCAGAAAAATAGGCTATTAGAAACGTGAAGTTTGTGAACGAAAAGAAAATAAAATAATTAGGTTACGAATTAAACGGAGCGATTAAAACGAATAAACGAATAAATGCGTTAGATGCGGGGTAATGAAAAAAAAACGCTTATTTTACCGTATCTTTCAACTCTAATCGGCAAACGGATGTATTTTTCCAAAATTCATACGTACGCGTTTAATTCGCGTATCATACGCGAATTAACTAACTAGGACTCCATATAATACTATTGATTTTGTTACGCATTTAAAGTCTGACAATATTTTATTAGAAATAAAAATTACTATCAGGTGATTCTGACTAAATCACAATACTGTGCATAATTTGGAGGTCATTTATTACTTTGATAAATTAGATTAATTGACCGACGCAAAGTACATGAGACATTAAAGAATTCGACGACACCCTTTACAACATATTACATTATAAAAGGGTGAAGTGCAAAAAAACATGTTTTAAAGGGTAAAAAACCAAAATACCCTCCGCTCGACTCATAACAAAAAAATAATAAAATTCTAGAAGACAAAACTATCTAAAAGGACAAACTCTAAATTACACCATTTTTATTTCTTTTGCAAACCCTTATTTCTTTTACAAAACCCAATTGCCAATCAGGACAAGCAAGTGCCCATCGAATTTCCGTGGAGGATAGGAGAGGAGAGGAGAGGATAGTGAACATGATGTTTCAGTGGAGGAGGTGGGCTGGTTGTGGGCCTTGTGGCGGACCCATCACACCTGATTTTTAATCCCAAACACTCAAATGGGCTGACACACCATCACCACCATAGTGCCGGTACACCACCAAACAATCACCAAATAATCAATTAATTCAAAATCTCCTTTCCCAACAAGTTTGAATCAAAAATGGTTGGCCGAAGATATAATGGGTAATTTTCAAAGCCTACTGTGGAAAGAAAAAGAAAAAACCTAATTTGCAAATAAAAGTGAATTGGTAAATAAAAGATATTCATATTTAAAGGATATCTCAGATTATAAAATAGTTTGTCTCAGAGTTAGTCAAATTTAATTAAAACTCATAATTTTTTTAAAAGGAATAGTTTTGGAATTTCAAACTAAAAAGTTGAATTCCCAAAAAGATATTTTGTACATTTATTAATGATAATTCAGTGGTTGGATTGGTCCTCGTCATCTTTATCTTTGGGAATCTAACTTCAAGTATTGGCATCTCTAACTTTTAATATAATATTCTTGATCTAAAAAAAAATTATTAAAAAATTATACATAGGCTCCGTACATAAATTTTTTTTCAATTTTTTGGTATTTAGTTGTCAGTAAAATATTTACAAAAAACACAATATTAAAATCTAATGAAAATAATTTACCTATTAATTTTTGACAAGTTACATTGAGTTGACAAAGAAAATAAAAAAAAAAAAATTAAATCTTACCTAAAACACGTATTCCGTCCTAGTACCTAAAATATAAAACAGTGGAACCCACCTCCTTGCATACAATAATATGGTAGGGTAAAAAAAATTCTCTTCATCAATTCCACTTAATTAGCCTTTGGGGGAAGAGTAGGAGTCTTTTTACCTGTATCTTAAAAAAATTGTGTTTCAAGAACTTCTGCCGACCAGAGAAGTAAAATTGTTGCCCCCGCCGTTCAAACCAGGTGATTTTTCTTCCTTCTCTATCCGAGGGAGTTTTATTTTATTTTATTTTTCTATTTTTTGTGGGATAGACGTATTGTTTATGTTCTTCATAATATGTGCTCAAATAGTTGGAAAAGAAAACGACAAAAATTAAATTAACAATGGCATTAGTTATGATTTTCCTAAAGTTTTAATTCAAGTATTATATATATATATATATATATATATATATATAGTGTTATTCACAATATTATTAGGTTCCAAGAAAAATGTGATATGGATTATGGACTGAAAAAGGTTGTACCATCATCCAGATCAGAGACTTAAACCTTTTTACTTATTTTGAACAAACTTTTTTATTTTTTCCAAAAAAAAAAAAAAAAAAAAAAAAGGCTGATCTGGGTTTAATCTTCCTATTTAAATATGATTAGGTGAGAGTGCTTATAGAAAATGGATATTCCTTATTGGGAAATTGTGGGAAGAACTGGGATGATTAGGTTAAAATAGTTTAGAATTGATAAGATTTTTTTTTTTTTTTTCATCATGTTGTGTTGTGAAAGCGTCTAAAAGTCCTATAATTGGGATTGGTTATAAACTTATGAAATTTGGTGTTTTTTTTTTTTTTTTAACAGATGGGCTGTGAAAAATTAATAAATGGGTGGAGAATGCCACTTTTATATTGGTTATCAGAAAAGTTACCCTACTACTGCCGAGAAAAGTATAATGGTAAGTTTTTTTTTATTTTTTTACTTCTTGTTCAGTTTGGTTTTTGGTTTGGTATGTTTTTGGATTTCGTTCTCCGTTTGAATATAAAATATTTTTTGGTGTTTGATTGTCATATAATATTTATTAAGAAAAAAAATATTATAATCTAACAAAAATAATTTACTCATCAATTTTCGACAAGTGATTTTACACGCCCTACCCGATGAACTCGACCTAAATTGGATATACTTTTTCGAAAATATTGAATTTCTCAAGCATGTGGAGTCCATCAGATAGAGAAATCCAGATTTCTGGAAGAAGTTTATGTGTCCACTAGAAGTGTGACATGATCTTGACTGGAGTATCCAGATTTCTGGAAGAAGTTTATGTGTCCACTAGAAGTGTGACATGATCTTGACTGGAGTAGCGCCAATAATATTACTATTTAACACCTTTGGTGGATGATTTTAACAATAATTATTCCATTGTTTATTGTTATCAAGACTATTACTATGCATACATGTCTTGCTCGAGTGAGTCTTAGGATTGAATTATTGGGGGAATAGAGTTAATTTCTAATGTATCAAGACCCGCGGCCTAGTGGTATCCTCTCTCATTTTAAAATTGAAAGGTGGCAGTCGAGTCCCCAAGTGCTCGAGTTTTTACCATTGCACCAAGAATGAGAAATTACGTATTGTTGTTATTTAAGTTGCTTCAAGTTTTTTCCATTGCACTAAAAATGAGAAATTACTTATTGTTGTTATTTAAGTCGCGAGAAATTGTTCTCACCCTAAGCTACATTATGAATAGGGATAACCATGAATATTTTCACAATTTTCGTTAGAAATCGACCCTCAATTCTCCACCATGCCTAAATATTATCACTTGTTGGTCACTTGGCATGTAAGCTCCGTTTGTTTGGATGTAAAATATTTTTTAAAAAGTATTTTTTTATTTTTTTAGTGTTTGATTGTTGTAAAAATATTTATGAAGAAAAAAATATTAAAATCTAATAAAAATAACATACTCATCAAATTTTGGCAAGTTATTTTATAAGCCTATTGACCTAGACCTTTGACAAACACCGAAAAATAAAAATAAAAAAAATATATATTTTACTTGAAAAAAGAAAATATTTGACGGAGTCCAGATCGAATTATTTGCAACATTCTACCAGTTAAAAGATTTTATTTTTCCTTTTTTACCATTTACCCTTGTGATCATTATTTTTGTTGTTGTTGTTATATTGAAAAAATTATTATGAGTTCAAGTTTGAGAGTTAACCTTACTTTTAAATGCAGAAATCGTTGGTGAACTTTGGTTTTTCTATGGATTGGTGTCTGCTTGTTCTGGCATGTGCTGCTTCGTTATGATAGAAGGCATAAGAAAAGTTTTTGAGAGGCATATGAATATTGGATCTGCTATCTTACCGATTGGGCAGATGATACTCTTACAAAGTGTACACAAAGCATATATTCGACGCGAATTAGGACAAAATTCTACGTATGAACATCAGATTGGATGCTCTGCAAAATCCGCAACGTGTCTGCTACATCTGTGTGCACTTTTTATTTTGTCACACTTGGTGGAGGATATTTACTACGGCCTTTTATGGATATCGTTTACTGCTGAGTACTATGTGTTTAGGGAGCTCCTCTATGGTTACCGTGACTTCAGTTTATGGGACGCGTTACTGGAAGTTTTGATGCAGATTATTGTGATTTCTCAAAAGGACAACAACGTATGTCTCAAGATTGTAAGCTTGATGATATGTGGTGTTGCTGTTTACTACCGGCATTGTTCCTATTCACCTTGTTGCAACTCTCGGTCATCATCCCAGGATTGCAGAAGGAAAATGAAGTAGATTAAGATTTCAGTCATCTCACTTGGTTTGTTTTTTCTTTTCTTTTTTTTTTTTTTTTTTTTTTTTTCGGATTTACTCTTAGCGACAGCAGCAGATGATTTTACTCTTCTTGATTTTGCTGTGTGTCTAGAAATCAGGATCAAGTAGAATATGCAACCGAAATCCTAATTTTGGACTTCCTGTGAATGTTCAAATGATGATCTTTTCGTGTTGATTTGGATTTGTAGAATTTGTGGCATGATTATAGTCCACATAAGTTGATGGTTTTTAGATGGTCCCGATATCATTTTTTTGGGGCCAATCACTAGTAGATTTGTAAGCGATTGTGTCGAAGATGTGTAAACTTCTTTCAGCCTTTTGCTTACGTGTCCAATTTGGTCTGGGATCATCTAAAAATATCTTCTTTATTCGTCTGTCTTCAATTCTTACAAATTTTGTTTGTATTTTGTGTTGTTTCTAGGCATTGGATTCTGCTGCATCTTAGAATCTCAGTGAAAGAGTATGCTATATATTTATGCGGTATACCGAGGAGGAAATACCAATTAGGCTTAATAATCCCCTTGGTTACGGCTATTGTTGTTGTTGTTGTTATCATTGTTAAAATAATTTTAAAAATCAAGTCCGGTCTTTTAACCCAAATATTATTGAATTTGAGCACAATTTAATTGAACTTGGAAACCCAATTTTAGGCTAATAATTTCATCATCAATAAGAATAAGAAGTTTAGAATTTTAAATATGGCCCAACATCGTTCCATAAAAATAAAACACAAAAACAAGACACATATCAAACTGGATTGTGAAAACTCAACCTTTTCTTTTGAAGGAAGAGAGATCGTATCAGGGAGGAAATAGAATCCAGCAACATGCAGGATCACTTGGTGAAGCATGGATGTTGTTGAGTTGATATAATGAACAACTGGGATTGAAAGAAATGTACGTATTGGATTGTGGGAGGTATAGTCAACTGAGTGTTGAAAGTTCGGCTATCAATTGTGGCATGAATATTGTCGAGTTGAAGAATTTCCAACTCAGTGAGACCAAGTTGTGTGACATAGGACCATTAGGTAGCCACATCTTTGTATCCTTCCCTGAGCCAATCTTGTGTCTAATCAACCCTCTTGCCATGCATCCTAATTTAAGTAACTTATTCCATCCAGAACTGAGAGTGGAGGATCTGACTGTCCAAATGCTCCTTGATTTGATGAGGTATCTGAATGCCCATGCCACCCATAAACTTTCCTTTCTGATGCAAAGCTTCCACAAATGCCTAAGATTGGCAACAAGATTAGACATTTCCAGACATGGAAACCCTAGCCCACCATACGACCTTGTCCTTCGAATAGAAATCCAGGCTACCTTGGCACCTGACTTCTTCAATTCCGTCCCTGACCAGTACAACCTAGCTCACGAGAATTTGATTAAATTGCTCAAACACATTCTTAGGTGACACAAAAGTATGGACCAATAAGCTTGCATAGAGTGAAGAATGGCCTTGATCAACACTACCCTACCAGCATATGAGAGGAACCTAGAAGTCCATCTACTAATTCTTGAAAGTAATCTTCTCCACTAGAGTTTGACGGTCTCTAGCACAAATGGCGGAGGAAGAGAGAGGTAATCCAAGGTAAGTAATAGGTAATGTCCCAACATTAATTTGAAGGAGTGTAAGTATGGCTGCCTTAGTTTGTGAATCAACCCGTGAAAAATGCCACTCTCTTGGAGCAATTAATTCAAAGCCCATAAAAAGCGAAGAAATTGTTAGGAGCACCAAAAAGTACTTGGACAGAAGGAAGATTTCCATAAGAGAATAGTAGAAAGTCATCAGCAAAAGCCAAATGTGTAATGTCTAATTTGATGCATCTCCATTGGAACCTGAAACTGTTTGAAGCACTTGTTGTGAAGTTTATGATTAAGATTTAAAATGTACCTTGAACGATTTTTGGGTCCATTTAAGATTTTGTGCGGGACAGATTTTAGTGATGAAAGCCCAAAGGGTTGCGGGGACAAAAAAAAAAAGGTCCCCAATATTTAGCTAAATGGTTTTGGACAAAGGTGAGAAAACAAGGACGAAAAGGGGCCCACCTCATTGTCATCCCAAGTTCCCAACTTTTAAACTAATACTATTTGTCTCAATTGGCCCACTTGAAGTACACTTCCTAAACGTGGGTAATGAATGATTAAATATGTGCAAAGGATGCAAAGACCTTTTTTTTTTCCTTATATTTGGACAGATCTGTGAAATTTGGGGTTTTGTTAGATTTATTTTTTAAATTCTTTTATTTAAAAGTACGTTGATAATGGGGATTCATTTTGTTGCAAAGTTGTTTGTACAAAACAATATTTATTAAGTCGGAAATTTGATGTCAAATTTTATTTATGCATGGACTACTGGGATGGTTCATTCAGTGACCTTGGCTCGTGACTTGAGGATTGGTGCTAGAATTGTTCACATTTCTTTCATTGAATAGTTTGTGTGAATCTTATTTGTGTGTGTGTGTGTGTGTATATATATAAATTTAATTATATGTATGAACTTTAGTATATTTAATCAGATTGAAAATGAGACGCAACAATTCCAAATGTGAAAACTCATCATATACAATTATAAATGTATTTATCAGTTTTTTTTTTTTTTTTACATAAATGTATTTATCAATCAACAGTTACATATTTGTATTTATTATCTTGATTTAAAAAAAATAAAATTAATCTTACTATTATTCAATGTGACCCCACTAGAAAAAAATTCTAGACCGGTCATTGCTTAGAACTCGTGGGCAAATATGACTTTTTAGAAATCATGCCTTTCTTTTGAGTTTTGAAGACAAATAACAAAGTATTTCTCAAAAAAATAAAGAGATACTACATATATAAATAATATTAGGATGCCGAGGTAATTATAAAAATTAATGTATAATTAAAAAAAAGGATGATAAACTTATTTTAATGAGGCTCAAAGATTGATCTTCTTGGCTGATTTCTAATTGTTTTTAGTGATAGTGAGCTAATTATGGATTTTTCTTTTTGGTTCCCAACTAATCTTTTCCCTTTTTATGTTATTTTAATACATTTTTATTTTAAAATTTTCAGGTGTGCATGCATCATGAATTTTATGGCACTTATATTTTGTTCTCGGGGTGACAATTGGGTGAGTTTGGGCAAGTTTTGGACTGATCATTAATAGACGAGACTCATTATTAACCCATTTATGATGAGTCATAAAATGATTGAGTGTTAAATAGGTAAGTTAACAAACACCGAACTCAATTACCCAAATATTTTTATACACAATTTGTCAAATTATTTAATTGTTGAATACTAAAAAAAATATATTAAACTAAAAAAATATACTCACAAAAAAAAAAAAAAAATTTCTTATGAATTTCTTCTAACAAAATTCTTTTCACGAAACCTTCCACCAATACAAAAACTTTTAATATAAGAAAGCTCCCCCAAACGGTGAGTAAACCCGAGCCTTCTGAACCAGCTAATCCGAATCATTTGGGTTTTGCAAGATTTCAAATATTTTGGACTAGGCCAAAGCCCAATAAGTCTATGCCCAAACAAATTTTAATTGTCCAAAAAGAATATTGGCTCGAGAATCCCAAACCTAAAACGCCGAACCAGATGGCGAGTATGAGAAAGCTTTATGTTCGATACTTTTCATTGGTGCTTAAAAAATGTCCTTATGTGGCTATTTGTTTAAACTCCTATTTTATATAAAGCAAAACATTTTACATATGTTCTATGTACATGGTGTGGAGTCATTTGATGCTCAATTTTGTTAATACATTGAGCCCTACCAAATTAACAATGATATTTCACTTCACATGCTATACCTTTTAATTTTAATATTAAAATAACAAGTTTATCTTTTATCTCTTAAATTACGTTTATAAAATTTATTTGAAAAATAGTATAAAAAAAGGACAAAATAATAATTTCAATTTTATATTTTTCTATATAAGTAACCATGATTTCATTTGTTAAATTTAATACACCCTCATCCCAAAATATTTATCCACCTTATAAGTTTTCAAATGAATAAATATTTTTGGACAGAGGGAGTAGCAAAGTGCAGGGGTCAAATATGAAATGCCTGTTTTTTTTTTTTTTTTTTTTTTTTTTTTATTTTTTTTAAAGCCAAGCAAATGGTATAGAAAAGTTATAATAGCCAAACACGGCACAACACGAGACACAAAAAATGAGCAATTGGGCATCCAGAGGTTTGAGACACCAAAGCTAAACAAAACACAAATTCGAAGAGGCAATTGATTATTTGGAGTCTTGTTTGAGTGGTAGGCTGATTATTTGGAGTTCTGTAATATTCTTTATATCAGTAAATATAGTGGTACTATAATTTCATTTTCCCTTATCCAAATTTCAAAAGATGGTTCCCGACAAAGCATGAACTTTTTCACAGGGTCTTAACACGGATTTAGTTAGAAGACACAAGAAAAACACGCTACAAACAGAGTGGACGATCAATATTTTTTTTTAAAATAATAATAATAGGACATGAATACATAACATGAGTACATAAAAAATTATAATCTAATATATAAAAATTAATTTTTTTTTTTTTTGGCTCATTTTACCTGTATAATTATGATTTTTTTTTTTTTACTATATAATTATAATTAAAATCACTAATTTGGAGCTTAAAGTTTTATATATATATATATATATATATATATATATATATATATATTTCCTCAATAGTTACTTTTGTTTTCTTAAATTTGATATGATTACTTTTGTTTTCTTAATTTTATATCATTTTAAATTACATTGAATCTCATTCTTCAAAAAAAAAAAAAAAAACGTAATTACAAATCATTCTTCAAAAGTGTCTCAAACATTTCCTCATCGTGTTCATGACCTATCTCGGTCATGTCCATGTGTGTCTAATAAAAAACATAAAAATATTCAAATTTTAAGACACTTTTAGCCGTGTCTAGATCGTGTATCGTGTATGTTCGGGTCTCGAATACTGCCACCACATCTCTAAAGAGAAGTGTATGTACTTCCTAAATCCTTGGTCAAAATTTAGAAGAATTTAAGTCTGAATAATTAAAATAAAATAAATTGACGGCTCCACAATATTCAGGCTCCGCTTGTTTCGATATAAAATATTTTTTTCGAAAAAGATTTTTCTTTTTCAGGTAATATATATATATATATATATATATATTTCGGTATTTGGCAAATGTGTAGGTCAAAATTGATGTTAAGTTGATCGAACGGAGCATGTAAAATTACTTGCCGAAATTTGATGAGTAAGTTATTTTTGTTAAGGTTTTTTTTCTTGGTAATATTTTAGAAAAACCAAATATCCAAAAATTTAAAAAAAAAATAAAAATATTTAACATCGAAACAAAAAAACCTATATTTAATTCGAATTCCGAATTCATTGTCAGGACCCAAATCATAGTGATCTTCAATGGACCAACAGAGTCAAGGACCAGCCCAGCTTCTTATCCAGACTTGTGGGATAG